TAAAACAGGCTCCTAAACAATGGTATAAGAGGTTTGATTCTTTTATACAAGGCCTAGAGTTTAAGAAATCAGATTTTGATCCTTATTTTTACTTTTAAAAGAATAGTGATTCTGAATTCTTTTACCTTCTTTTGTATGTTGATGATATGCTGGTGGCTGGTCATAATTCTATTATACTTAATTCCATAAAAGAAAGGTTGAAATTAGAATTTAAAATGAAGGATTTAGGCCCTACTAGGAAGATTTTGAGAATGGAAATAATAAGATACAGAATTAATGGAAAATTGTTCTTAACTCAGAAATCTTACATTGGAAAAGCGGTAAAAAGATTTTTTCTTGAAAATGCTAAATTTGTCAGCTTACCTTTGTCCTCTTGCATGAAATTATATGTTGATCAATCACCTAAAACAGAAGAGGAACTTAAAGGGATGTTGAATGTGTCATATGCTAATGTTGTTGGGTTTGTAATGTATGTAATGGTGTGTTCAAGACCTGATATAGCTTATGCAGTAAGTGCATTAAGTAGATTCATGAGTAATCCAAGTCAGTCTCATCGGGAATGTATGAAAAACCTGATTAAATACTTGAAAGGTACATGTAATTTAGGACTCATGTTTAAAATAAGTAAAGATGGTTTTAAACTTAAAGGCTATGTTGATTCTGACTTTACTGCATATCTGGATAGTAGGAAATCTACTTCTGCATATTTTTACGTCATAAACAATGCGCGCATTAGCTGGAAATCTCAACTTCAGAAGTTAGTTGCTTTATCCTATACTGAGGCAGAATACATTGCTACTACTGAAACTAGAAAAGAGAGACTATGGCTGAAAGTTTTGTTAAATGAATTAGGTCTTGTAGAAAATCAGGTGGAGTTATGTTTTGACAATCGAAGTGCCATTTTCTTAAGTAAAAACCCAATTTTTATTCATAGATCAAAGCACATTGATGTTAAGTTTCATTTCATTAGAGATATAATTGATAGGGATGATATTAAATTGGTAAAAATACCTACCAAGGTAAATCCTGCTGATGTTGGAACAAAGGTAATGCTACTTAGTAAGTTCTTAGATTGTTTAAGATTGTTGAATCTCAAAACTTGCTATTTTTTCTGCTTTTGTAAACAAGTAATAAGAGCAAATGATGTAAGAGATTAAGTTGGAATCTACGTAAGTGCAGACACAAAATACAACAAAGGTGGAGATTGTAAGTGTTGGGTTGTTGAATTTTGTGAGTCCAACCTAATTATCTCAAAGCTGGTTTATTTTAAGCCCAAATAAATGGTCCAGCTTGATGACCCACAAATGGAAGAATCTAGAATTGTTAAAACCGTGTTTTCAACAAACGCGTCTTCAATTTAAAAGGTGGTCTCGTTGGATTGATGACAAGTGGCAGGACTTATACCTTTGGATCTTTCACTCTCATATAAATACGGGTCTTGAGACTTTAGGGTTACGGTTGGTATCATTTTGAGGGTTTCTTGGCTGCATGCCTTTCATCTACTTTGTTTGATCTTGTATCTTTTCTAAAAATACTTTGCATTGTTTTGAGAGAAAATTGTAGAGAAACTCTTTTGTGAGTTTGCTCTGTGGGAAGATTGTGTTGTATTCGTGGTTTGAAAACTCTATGTTCTGTAAGTTGATTTTTGCCTATTTTGGCTGGTATAGTGAATTCGAGTTTAATCCTTTACGGATGATCAATGGGGGACTAAGCGTTTGAAGCGGTGGCTGAATCTCTGGGGCCTTTGGCCGAAAAATCTCGTGTTCCTTATTTTCTTGTTCTGTGTTTGAGAAATTTTGATTTTATGCATTGAGTATTTTGGTTTAAACTCGATTCTGGACCTACAATTTCTTTATATTTTAAATTCTAGTTGTTTGCCACGGTGCACTAATATCACTTTTTGTATTGAAAATGTACAAGGGATGTAAAAAAGATGTCTCTATATGAGACCTTTAAGGTGATGCAGTCATTCTAGATTTCTAAAGATTATAGAGACTTAAATTGTTTAAGTGTATTCGAACGAAACTTTTTATAACTTCATATAAGTTTTGGAGGATTCAATGTAATTTTTTATAGATTAAAAGTTCTATAAAGTCATTAAATATTAAGAATTTGTTTGAGTCCAGTTTGTTGGAGAAATATATTTATAATAGTATTTAGTATTTTATTTCTTTTGGACTAAAAAGTAGAGAAAAATTGTTGGTATATGTGTAAAATTATTTTATGAGGAGAATGCATAATTAAAAATGAATTTGAAAAAAAAAATCATTTTTACGATATGAGACTCGAATGGGGACTAAATCAACACTTTTTCAGAAGTCTTAAAACTTCACGTGTTATTGAAAATGTTAATGATTTTAGTGACCTTTTCAAAATCCTTCATGTACTGATTTTTAAGTAAAAAGTAAACAAAAAATATCATTAAATTTTCTTTTTCATCCCCGAGATTTTGAAAGATTTTCACATAAAAATGTCTTTTTATGAGTAATATTTTTCTTTCTGCTTTCTTTCAACAAGCCTAGAGCCATAACAAAATAAAGAAATATATTTCTCTCTCTTCAACCTATTATTACTATCATTCTCTTCTTAATATTTTTATTCCTTTTTTCTTTTTTTTCCCATCATTTTCTCCTATTTTTCTATGGAAAAAACTATCAATTTGTAAATAAAAATTTATTTTCAGTCTTTTTTTTTTCGTGGTTCTATCCAATTTTAGAGAAAGGTCATATTGTAATTTTGGTTGTTAATTTTCTAATGCAAATGACTTATATTTTTTTAAAAATATTTTACTAATACGAAAATTAAATTTTTTTCACTACGTGTTGTGGATCATTTTATCATACAAGCAATGGTTTAAAAATATGAGTAATTAATTATATAAGATTTTTCCAAAAATAAATATTCATAATGACTTTCAATGAATTTGTAAGAAGAATGTTTTATAAACTCAACAAAATTGATTTAACTGAGATAAAAACTTTATGGGCTCGTTCGGTGGTAATTGTGAGAATTGATTTTTTGATCGTTAGGAAGAAAAGTGGTGGCCACCTACGAGTGAAGAAGTAAAAAAATGACGGCTGAAATAGTGAAATAACGATAAAAAAAAATTCAATTTTTTGATATGAAAAAGCACTATCAAACAGGAGCTATGAGTCTTGGGGGTAATTAGCCGTTGTTTGTCTTTTTAAAAAAAATAAAATTCTTTAATTATCATACTCACTTTAAACTATACTTTCACTCGATAAAATATCTTGCACATAAATTCAAAAATTTTCTTTTTTTTAAAGACATATTCTTAAAAAAAGTATTGTTTACAATATCATTTTTATTTTATTTTATCAATATTGACCATCAAACAGGGGCTTAATTAAGGGTCTGTTTGGAAGCGATTTTTCTTCTAAAAAAATTGATTTTTTGATCGTTATTTCACTATTCCAACCGTCATATTTGACTTCTTCTCTCACAGATGAACCCCACTTTTCTCCCAACGGTCAAAAAATCAATTCTCAAAATCACTCCCAAACAGGTTCTAAGATTTTTAAAAACTTCAATATAATTTTTTAAGTAATGTACTTTTGTGAAATTCATGTTCTAATTTGTATGGAATTAATGGAAGTATATTATAAACTTATATAGACTTTCATCTTAAAACTTTACTAGACTTTTAAGGAATTCATAGGATTTTTAAATACTTTCATTTAAAATAAAACTTGCGTGGGTTTTGTACAATGAAGAAAAGTTCTTCCATAGGATGTGGTGGCCACAATTTCATTTATCCTTCCTATGCAATAAAAAATATTTTTGAAATAATAAAAATATTTAAGTTACATTAGTTAAATAAATAATCAATAAAAAATATTATATAAATTTTATTATTTTTTGATAAAAAATAAAATAAAAATAAACAACAAATAATATACTTCAATTTTAATTACAAATTGAATGTAGAATCCCTTGAGAAACAGGTTATGCAAGTTTCCTTTTAGGGTGCAAACCTCTTCCCGTTAGCGGCGGCGGCAGTGCAACGTGTTTCTTTTTCCCTGACCGGCACTTCTGATTTTTCCTCAGCTGCGGTTGCGAGGTTGGATAGTTGGTAAAATTCTTCAATTCGATAAATGTTAATCAATTTCTATTAGATGTTCATAGGGATGTCAATAAGTCCAGCCGAATTGGTTAACGAGTCAAAACTTGAGGCTCGAGTTTGGCTCGATTAAAATTGTCGAGCTTTTTTTGGAGCCCAAGTCGGGCCAAGTAAAAGTTCGTCCAAAAATTTTAGGCTCGATCCAAGCTTTCGGCTTGGGCCTTTCTGAGCTGAGCTGGACTAGCTCGTTTTTCTCTTTCTCTCTATTTATTTATTTATTATTTATTATTTTTTAAAGGCAATCTTTGCTTCCGTTCAAGATAGTGTTTGCTGCCTTTCAATGCAGCATTTTACTGCCCTATTTTTATTATTATTATTTTATATTAATAAATGCTCACGGGTCGGCTCGAGCTTTTTTCAGGACGAACTACGGGCGGCTCGAGCCGATGAGCCAATTGACATCTTTAGATTCGCCCCATGCATATATAGGCTCTCTCTCCGCCCTTTGATTTTTTTTTTCTTCTTTTTATTTTTATTTTTTGATTTTTTTGTTTTTTTGGCCTTTTACTTTAACTGTTCAAAGTTTCAAACTTGCGGTACCCCTCTTAGATGAAAAAATTTATATGGGCACTACTATTATTCTTTGGGCCTGTTCGGTAGTTATTATAAAAATTAATTTTTTGATTGTTAGAAAGAAAAGTGGATTTAACTGGTAAGTGAAGAAGTAAAAAAAAGACTGCTGTAATAAAAAAATAAAGGTTAAAAAATTTATTTTTTAAGGTAAAAAATTGCTACCAAATGATATTATGTACGTAGACCACGGATGCCCTGCCCTTGTGCAAGCCGGACCTGAAGAGAGGCCCCTCTGCCTCAGCCCAGCATATTGGGAGCCCAATAATTAGTTGTATCCCTTTTATTTTAAACCCAACTTCACGTATTCAACGTCATCTTCATCATATACATTCTCCTCCACCACGACACTGCAGAATCTCTCGGTTGGCGGCTGCTACTCTGCAAACTCAATTTCTCCAAAATCCGACCTGCTACGGGCGAGGAGAGATTCCGCAGCCACGCACATTCCGGTCTATTTTCGGAATTATTGGTAAGTAATTTATTTTCCCTAAAATCCGCCGGCGACGAGCTGGCATGCTGCTTCTGTTATTAATTCGTTTTCTTGTTTTGGATGAGATTCAAATTGGGTTCTTTGTCTATTTGTTGCAATATCTTGATTCTTGAAGACTTGAACTTTGAAGCGTATCACGGAATTCATGTTTTTGGTGAATGAAATTCTGAAATTCATCCATTAATGATTAATCCTGCCATCCATGTTTAACTGTTGAAGTAATTCAACAGCAAGTGAATTGAGCAATTGTTCTAAGGTGAGCTCGATGTTACAGAATGGCTATGTTCAAACTTCAAATTAAAATAACCAAATATGGAAGACTTTCATTACAGAGGGATGAAGACATAATTATAGGTTATCTATGAATGATCACACCCGAGCAGAATATTCCCAAATCTGACTTCAAATTCAACAAGCTAAAGAAATTATCAAATCAAGAATCCACTGGGAAGCTTTTGGATCACTACTACATTCTAACATTCCAATTTTTGGTTAATGAAATTTGAAATTCATACATTAATCCTGCCTTGTTTTACAGAAAGTGAGCAACTAAAACTCTGGAATTGATAAACTGTGAATTATGGTTGATATGAAGTTGAGTACTTTCATTATAAGTTGTGAATTGTGATTGGGTCATCAATTTTCATATTCTTTGTTTTATTCTTTGATTTTAAGTTAACAAATTTAGTTCCTTAAATCTCTTATAAATGAAAAAAATTAATTGCTTGCTATGATTTATGAGCCCAAAATCTGAAGTTCGCCCGGGCCCCGTAAAACACAGGTCTGGCCCTGCCCTTCTGGTGGGTTTGGAGGAGAGACTGAGCTTGTCCGGCAGAATTTGAATGGTGGGAGCAGAGAAGGGGATGTGGGCTATTGTTATAACTGTAATTTTTTTTTGGTGCATTCATAAAAATATATATTTTAATTATGATGCATTTAATTTATAAATGGTTGTAATAATAAAAAATAAATTGGCGCACTGTTAAACATAGTTGTGAATTCAATGTTTTGTTGTTATTTCCCAAGTACAATGCATGCAGAAACATGTTTTTCTATTGACTTGTAATGAAAAATTTAAACGATTGTCTATGTGCTTAATTAATTTTCCGTTCTCAATGGCGGTAAATCTGAACACTTTGAATTTTTGAGGTTTTCTATGCATTTTTAATGAGTAATATATGTGATTTTGGAAGTTTAAATTTTGTTAGTTGAATTTCCGTGTTAGGTTAAGAAAGTGTTTCTGGGAGATACCAGAAGGGTTCTATTGATTCGGAAGCATAACAAGTGAGAAATTACAAGTACTGTAATTCTTGTGAAGTCTGCTTATGGCTGGTGAGGATAGCTCTTCTTATCGTAAGGGTGGAAAGAAAATGAAATTGGGCAGAAAGGCCAAGGAGGAATATACTGAAACAGGTCGAAAAGTTTCAAAGCACCAAAATTCCTCAGTGCGACAAGCATCATTTATCAGGTTTTGAACTCCTTTTTGAATCTGGATTAGCGGTCTAGGTCCGTGTTATATTACCTATGTTCATGTGTCCAACATAAGCAAACTTTATAGCTTTAAAAATTTTGATTTTAGAAAACTCGTTGACCCAGAGACGGCAAAATACTTTGCGGAGATTGCAAACGTAATAGAAGGGACTGAAATTGAGTTGGAGGAGCGGACAGTCATATGTGGTAATGCTTTGGAAGAGACTAGAGGGAAGGAGGTGGAACTTGCAACTGATTATATCATAAGCCATACTTTGCAAACTCTACTTGAAGGCTGCACTGTGGACAACCTTTGTGGTTTTCTGAGGAGCTGTGCAAACAATTTCTCTCATATAGCTATGGATAGATCTGGTTCTCACGTAGCTGAAACAGCTCTGAAGTCTTTGGCCTTGCACCTTCAGGAGGATAATGAGACTCACTCCCTCATTGAAGAGACGCTAAGTACATTATGTCAGGTACCAGTTACTTAAAATGCAGATGACATTATATTTTATTGACAAATTATACCAATTTGGATGTTCACTGCGGAACCTTGGTAGTCCCTTGGTTTACCTTTTCTTTTTCCTTTTTTTATCAATTTCTTTATGCAAGTTCATTCTGTTGAAAAGTATTCATCGCCAGTAACAATGACAATGCAATTTTATTTCCCTTTTTCTGCTTTCCTTCCTTTCTGTACAAATAGTGAAATAAAGTTGCACTTTGCATTAGGGTTTGAATCCATATTGATAGTATTTACAATATTCAGTTGATTTGTTTTAGCACCGTGTTTTTACTTTTTAGTAGTGAAGGAAGGCATTATATATGCCAAATGGTGTCTGAGAAGTTGCTTTACTTCTATTTTTTCTACCTAGGCTTTGTGGAGTAATGTAAATACTTATCTCCTCCTTCCAGGAAATCGTGGTAAATCCTGTTGATGTAATGTGCAACTGTTATGGATCTCATGTTATGCGGAGCCTTCTGTACCTTTGTGAAGGAGAAACCTTAGGCTCTTCAGAGTTCCACAGCTCAAAGCCATCTGTTCTGCTGGCAGAACGTCTGAATTTGAGGTCTTCTCAGTTGGATGGTCACAAATTGCAACATCATCAGAAATTTCCTGATAAATTAAAATTTCTCGTATCAGAGATGTTAAACCCTTGCAGGGTAGACATAGCAACTCTTGTAGTAAATCAATACAGCAGTTTGGTTCTGCAGGCATGTTTTCTGCCTTTTAAACTTCATATACTGATTTAGTATCTTAAACTTGTAGTTCTTGGAAATAAAGACTGCAAGCTTTTGCATGTGTTTGTTCAGGACAAATTTCTACTTATATAGTTAACCAGTTTCACACGCACTTCTTTAATCCCTAAAAGTAGGTGAATCTAGAAGTTTTTCTACATTTAATGATACGTGTTTCTTCTGATACAATAGTCATAAGCAGGCCATGTTGAAGGCTGCTTTCATAAATCAAATAAACAGAAAAAATGGCGCTGATGTTATGTTAATTGTGATGCTTTGGTCCCCTGATGTAGTCTAAATGATGATGAGTTAAATTTATTCAATGACAGACTGCTTTGAAATTATTAGCTGGTCATGAACAGGAGTTGCTCCATGTAATTCCAGTCCTCCTTGGTTTCAGTGCTGAAACTGGCTCGGGGTGGAACTTTATGAAGGCGAGTGAACTAAAAAATATTCTAAGTTTAGTGGAAGAAAATGCATACAGCCATTTAATGGAGGTGAGATCATTTTTTTCTGATTTCCTCCCTTTTCTACATTTATTTCATTGTTAGTACGGTTTTGAACAATCATTTTTTTCCGCTGTTGATTTAAAGATTCCTTTAACTTGTGCAATATTATTATATACTCTAATGGTTTTTTTTTTTTTTTTTTCCCTTTTTTTCTCTCACTGAGTTCAGTTGATGAAAGCAAAGTTGAAATTGATGCACCAAAATGAAAGTGTAATTTGTACTGTACTTTGGAACAAGTTTGAACAAATCTAGAGTAGATATTTACCTGTCCAAACATTGAGCTCCCATTTGACAACCATTAAAACAAAACTTTTTTTATTTTTATTTTTATTTTTATTTTTATTTTTTATTTTTCATACTCATTTTCAATCACACATTCTCACAATAAAATATTCGGTACGAAAATCCAAAATTTTTTCTACTTTTTAATCACATTCTCCAAAAAAATCACTATTCCAAAACTCATCCCCCCCCCCCCATACAAATAGTGAAATAAAGTTGCACTTTGCATTAGGGTTTGAATCCATATTGATAGTATTTACAATATTCAGTTGATTTGTTTTAGCACCGTGTTTTTACTTTTTAGTAGTGAAGGAAGGCATTATATATGCCAAATGGTGTCTGAGAAGTTGCTTTACTTCTATTTTTTCTACCTAGGCTTTGTGGAGTAATGTAAATACTTATCTCCTCCTTCCAGGAAATCGTGGTAAATCCTGTTGATGTAATGTGCAACTGTTATGGATCTCATGTTATGCGGAGCCTTCTGTACCTTTGTGAAGGAGAAACCTTAGGCTCTTCAGAGTTCCACAGCTCAAAGCCATCTGTTCTGCTGGCGGAACGTCTGAATTTGAGGTCTTCTCAGTTGGATGGTCACAAATTGCAACATCATCAGAAATTTCCTGATAAATTAAAATTTCTCGTATCAGAGATGTTAAACCCTTCCAGGGTAGACATAGCAACTCTTGTAGTAAATCAATACAGCAGTTTGGTTCTGCAGGCATGTTTTCTGCCTTTTAAACTTCATATACTGATTTAGTATCTTAAACTTGTAGTTCTTGGAAATAAAGACTGCAAGCTTTTTCATGTGTTTGTTCAGGACAAATTTCTACTTATATAGTTAACCAGTTTCACACGCACTTCTTTAATCCCTAAAAGTAGGTGAATCTAGAAGTTTTTCTACATTTAATGATACATGTTTCTTCTGATACAATAGTCATAAGCAGGCCATGTTGAAGGCTGCTTTCATAAATAAAATAAACAGAAAAAATGGCGCTGATGTTATGTTAATCGTGATGCTTTGGTCCCCTGATGTAGTCTAAATGATGATGAGTTAAATTTATTCAATGACAGACTGCTTTGAAATTATTAGCTGGTCATGAACACGAGTTGCTCCATGTAATTCCAGTCCTCCTTGGTTTCAGTGCTGAAACTGGCTCGGGGTGGAACTTTATGAAGGCGAGTGAACTAAAAAATATTCTAAGTTTAGTGGAAGAAAATGCATACAGCCATTTAATGGAGGTGAGATCATTTTTTTCTGATTTCCTCCCTTTTCTACATTTATTTCATTGTTAGTACGGTTTTGAACAATCATTTTTTTCCGCTGTTGATTTAAAGATTCCTTTAACTTGTGCAATATTATTATATACTCTAATGGTTTTTTTTTTTTTTTTTTCCCTTTTTTTCTCTCACTGAGTTCAGTTGATGAAAGCAAAGTTGAAATTGATGCACCAAAATGAAAGTGTAATTTGTACTGTACTTTGGAACAAGTTTGAACAAATCTAGAGTAGATATTTACCTGTCCAAACATTGAGCTCCCATTTGACAACCATTAAAACAAAACTTTTTTTATTTTTATTTTTATTTTTATTTTTTATTTTTCATACTCATTTTCAATCACACATTCTCACAATAAAATATTCGGTACGAAAATCCAAAATTTTTTCTACTTTTTAATCACATTCTCCAAAAAAATCACTATTCCAAAACTCATCCCCCCCCCCCCCCCCCCCCCCCCCCCCAACAGACACACACACACACACACAAAAAGGAAAAACTCATTTTAATGTTTATCAAACAGGGGATTGAATATCTGTTAGCTCTGCTTCCTACAATCATGAAACTAAAACCAAAGTTAAGGGTCATCTATTACTGGTCTTCGGTAATGTAGCCTTTTTTATGTCGTTGTCCTCAGTTTGAATACCTTACCAAAATGGTGCAACAACTAATGGCATGCATTAGCATCATAAAACCAGCAAATATTTCTGTGATTATGTAGAAGGAATGAAACAAAGTGTTACTCTGACCTTTGCTCTTTTCATTGGTCAAAGTATTTGCCATTTTGTATTGTAAATAACAATTTTGTACACTCATAAGTTAGCAAGAATTTGTTCCGTTGTTCTGGTAATACTCTTCTTTACACTTTTGTATTGATGGCTTCTATGCTTTTAACTTTGGGAACCGCTTTTCAGGTCATCTTGGAAGTGGCTCCTGATACCTTATATGATGAATTATTGACAAAAGTTTTCAGGAGTTCTTTATTTAAGATGTCATCGCATCACACTGGGAACTTCGTTGTACAATCATTGGTTTCCCATGCAAGAAGTCACGATCATGTATGTCCCGGGAACTTTTCTGTGTAACAAGATCCCTTGCTGTTATCGCTTTCTTTAACTATATGGAACCATCTTATGTGATTTTTTTCTTTCCACATTTTTTGAGGGGGAGAACGTAGGTAATAAAGGCAATTAATCTTATGAATTCCTGGGTTTGGTTTTTTTGACTTCAACTTAAGCTACTTCAAGCAGAAAAGGGTAAACCTAAACCCCCCTTCAAACTGAAAGAAGTAACTCACACATTCACAAAGTGTGGAAGCTGCTTACTACAAGGTTTATGTCCAATATTGGTTGATAATATCTTATGGAACCATGCTAGATGCTCCACATGCTAGTTCTTGATTTGGTAACCATGATATGTAATTGATCTAATGAAGGCAGTTGATGATGCCTTGACTTATTGTGCAATCTAATTTCTTGTTTTGGAATCTAGATGAAGTCTATTTGGGAGGAGCTCGGTACAAAATTCAAGAATCTTCTTGAAATGGGAAGGCCGGGAGTCGTTGCATCTCTTCTTGCTGCAAGTCAAAGGCTTCAGACCCATGAAAATAAGGTTCGTAACTACTCATTATCATTTGAAATTTTTGAACTTAAACTTGAACATCCTGTAAAGTTTTGCCATCATAGTAAAACATTCAATTTGATGGAGCAATTAATGTAAGTAATTGGGTATAATTTGGGGGAAGGATTGGTTTGTGTCACCTATTTGCTATAAAATTATGAATATTTTTCTCTTTTAACTTAATCTTGGACTATTCTGGATGATAGTGTTGTCAGGCCCTTGCTGCTGCTGTACGTTTGGAGAACGAGTCTACTGCATGCATTGTATCACGGATACTCTTTCTTGACAGTTACTTCTACTCTGAAGATAAGGACAACTGGAATTGGCCAAATGGTGTTAAGATGCATGTTCTTGGTTCATTGATTCTGCAATCAATTTTTAGACTTCCAAATGTATGCAACTTTACTTGTGTTTGTTTTGACATTTCTAATATAGGAGAAAATTGCAATAAATTTTGTTGCTTCGGTTATGTGCTAAACTATCTGAGTAAAATATGCTTTTAACTGTTAAAACATGTTTGTTTAGCTTTGAAATGAAACTTCTTCAACTGCTTAAGAGAGAATTACAGAAAGCTAATATCATGTTTGCTAAATAGCTAAATTGAAGAACTGGTCTTACACTGACTTTTAGCTATGACTAAATTCTTACAAGCAGAGTTTCTTTTGGTTTTCGCCACTTGCTGATTCAAGGAGTGCATCATAAACATTATCAACTTGGTTTAACTTGCCATTAGATCAAGTTCGATTTTGTCTACTCAATATACCTTTTTCACCAGGCAGTTTGGTTGATTACACTTGTACTATTCTTTTCTCTGTTGTATAGGATTTCATACTGGAATACATCTATAGTATCACATCATTGGAGAACAACCAAGTGCTTGAAGCATCTAAAGACCCTGGTGGTGCCAGGGTTATTGAAGCATTTCTCAATTCAAATGCTTCGACGAAACACAAGCGCAAGTTGGTTATCAAGTATGTTATAAGTTTCTTATTTCCATTCTTGTTTATCTTGTATGTATTGATGTTTTATGTCAATTGCAGTTTTATTGTACAACATTATCGCCAAACAGTTTTTTTTCTTGTCGGAGGCTAGTTTCCAATGAGCTCTTTAAAGAAACAATCACATAATGAATAGCAGAGATAATATTGTGAGAAAATTGAAATTTCTAAGTCACCATTGAATGCCATTTTTTATTATCTTTATTCTTGTAAGATAGCATGCCTTACACATTCTCATCCATGAAACTTAAAAGGAGGACTTCTTTTTTTAATCCTATCAAATTTAGATGTCAAGAGAAGTTCTTGATTTTATGGATGAGACTGTAAATTGAAATCATTTACTTTTCAGAGATTCACAGTGTACTGCGGATTTCTTGTAGGTATTACATGGAAGTCCATGTAATGCTATACCTGAAAGTTCCGATGTTCTTAAAATTATACCCACAGAAGATCATAAAGGACTTCCATGTGAGATGGCAACTGCCAAGGCGTCAACTAATCCTGAGCAGTATTAAAAAAATGAGCATGAGTTATTTTGATGAATGAGTGTTTGGTATCTGAGAGAAGCATATTAAATCAACTTTTATATGTTGCAATCTGACGCCGATTAGAAAATCCATTAATTTAAGCAGTTTTTTACAATTTTTGATACTTCTATCAAGTTTTGTATGTTATGACTCGTACACAATCATTATTGCCTGGAAGTTCCATGTGAATTGGAGATGACCAAGAAATGCAACTACACTCAAGGCCCTTTTCAAACCTCTGCAAACAACTTGAGACCCTCTTTCAAGTATTACATCTGATGAAAATTTGCTTCTAGTACTCCTTTTGGGCCAAATTTAATTTTATGCATCAATGCTTTGTAGGGAGTGATGTTTAATTATTAACAGGCCCAACATGTACTTAAAAAACTTTTATTCGCTAATAATGTAATATTTTCTAATAATATATTGATCCAAAAACATGAAGGCTTCGGGGACATTTTGGAGAGCTGTCTGTGTATCCTTCTGGTTCATTTACTGTTGAAAAGTGCTTCAATGTCAGCAATTTATCCCTGAGGGAGACAATTGTATCAGAGATATTACCTGTCCAATCAGAACTTTTAAAGACTAAACAGGGCCCTTACCTGATGAGGAAACTTGATGTTGAGGGGTAAGTTGTCATTTCTCTTGGTTGTTCCATTAAGAATTACATTGATATTATATTCTGTGTTGTAGTCTGGTTTCTCTTTGTCTTATATGTTGTGGTCTTGTGGATATTTAATTGAAGATAATGAACATCAGCCTTCAGTGACGGTGCTTTTTTATGTCACGATTTTGAATAATATGGATGGGTACTAGGGACTGGCTTTACCTCCTTTTCTCTTCTGAATTACAGGTCCTGTTAAGAGATGAGTTGGATGCTGTTTAGTTGCTCAATAAATATTGTAATGTTCTAACAAGATTTTCCTTGACATACTTCCTTTTGCATGATTGGATTTTGCACACTTTGCTTAGCATCTCCTCAACTACTAGAAAATTGCCCTTAGTAATTGGTATAACCCACCGGTTGTAGCAGGAAAAAATTACACAAAAGAAATTCAAAATAGTTTCCAGCAAATAAAAATATGATTTATTCTATAACGGACTGAATATGACCTGAAAATTACTACTTGATAGGCATTTCAGAGGCCTACCTTACTTCACTCTCAGTACATGTGAATCAAAAATAATTAAATTCCCATCTTGCGCCTATCAGATTATTCCAGAAGCTCCGGCCTCATCACACACCTCCAAACCAACTAACTAATGTTTTCTGGTAACAAATTATCACATGCATCCAAGCGCAGGTACTGCGCAGCTGCTAGGTCCATTTACGGCAGCTAAGTGCCCTGCTTCTTGTCCCTGACCAATTGTGAAACTACCATTCAGCTTGTTCAAAGTACCAGTCTCTGCTATGATGTATGTATGCCGGTGTAGGAACGACCAATAGAATTGGACTTCTGCTTATTACCATTTGAGTATGACTGGGGTGGGCAGATTGAGTACATCCATTTTCTCATTTTGAAGGTGTCTCCATGATTGAGCAGTAATAGGTAGGGATGACAGGATTTGAACCTGTGACATTTTGTACCCAAAACAAACGCGCTACCAAGAAATCACCCCTCACGTGTGAAATTATAGAAGATCTTATGAAATTATAGAAGATCTCCTTTAAGATCTCGAGTTTGTCTCTGGAGGAAATACCTGTACTGGGTAATGCATTATAGGATGTGCTGTAATATCACTTTTCACAATATTATTTACTGTTTATTACAGAAATAACCGGTCACTTCTGCACTACATATGGAAATGCATGGAGCCTACCATTTTCCTTTTACTTTTCCCCTTTTTAATGTGTGGATGGAGCGTTCCTATTGGTATTGAGGTGAGGGGAGGGTTTGAATACAATTTGTTTGCCTGGAAAATGCCAATTATTTTCTTCCTCTGCTCTTGAAGGTGAATACTGATGATTGCATACGCAAATTGTATCTGAGGATGTCAGTACGGAAGCTGTGTGAATATTTAATCCATAGCTTGATTCCTTGGTGATTGAAAGAGTCCATCATGGTTTAACAGCTTATGTACTTGTTAGTTGGTAATCATTCTAAATTGTTTGGATTTGTAAAACATGTGATACACATTTGCACCTATGTTCTTTTTCCTTGGGTTGCTTTTCAAGTTTCTCGGCAAAAAAATGTAATATCTGTAGTTAACAAGCTAATCCCCTATGTCATCAAACAGGAAATATGTACAGATATTTGATCAATTTACTGGCCACGGGGTGGTCTCACTCTCTCTCTCTCTCTCTCTCTCTCTCTCTCTCTCTCTCTCTCTCTCTCCTAAATGAAAGAATTTGTTGGCAGGTACTCTTCTTAGTCGATTGATTCTTCAGTCATCCTTTGGAGGCTTGCACCTGGTACAAGAAAATGTGTCTAAGTAAAGCTTCTTATGGAGGAAAAGGGCTTCAACATATTAGGAGTTAGAAGTTACTTATTCTGCGTTGGATTCGATCTACTTGGAGGTATTCTTCGAAAGCTTGAGTTAACCTTCTTGAATGGATTTTTCTCATCTGGGTGCAAACTTTTAAAAGCATCTGTAGATGAATCTATGCTTGTAGAGGATGCTTTCGTCTCTACCAGGAGGCGGGCTCCTTGCGCTTCGTGCAGGTGAGACTGCAGAATCATCATTAGTGCAAGAACAAAAGAGATTATCATTCTCAAGTGAGACATCACAATTTTGTTCTGAATACTTTTTCTTTTATTTGGAAAAACGATGATACTGAAAATTTTGGGATGAGATTTTAAGGGGCCTGATTAAGTTCTTGTTTTCAAAGTTTATATAACAAAATTTTTTGAAAAATCTACTGGGAATCCAATGTAAGTAGATCATCATGTGATTCTACTTTGACTGTATCATGTTACATCTCTGACTTCCATATTAGCTACTACAGTTTCAGTGTTTGGTCACGTGGCTAGGCACGTGATAATATTTTAATCTGTGGTAGCTGATACTTTATTGCTGTTCTTTCTGCATATCAGAGATTTACATGGTTTAGACACGATATTGGATTCATTTTCTTCTAATCCCTTTCAGGGTATTAAATAAAGTAAGAAAAAATAATGGGTTTTAGCCGGTTGGCTTTGTTTTTTACTGTGGCTTTGTTTTTTACTGCTACTTTTTCCCTGGCATTCAAATTGCATCCACAAGAATGCGATATTGTTTGTGTAGGCATTTGTTTTCTGCTCAGATGAAACTGAAATAGACATTTATCCTCCTCTGGAGATTTGGATGCAGTTTGGCATAGCCCATATCACTTTTCTTGATGCGCTGTATTTTATATTTAGGACGAAATATTAGGTAATGTAATAATAGATGAGTCCATATCTCCATCTCTTTTCTTAACTGTCCTTTAATCAAATTTTGACACATAACTGTAACTTTGAAGTGTCAAAACAATAGGACACAATTTAGCCGGTAAGAGAAACGTAAAAATGAATTGTGTCTCACTAAAAATTGACACTTCAAAATTATAGTGATGTGTCAAAATTCAGTTGGGGGAGAGCAAAGGAGATAACAAGATTGGGACAACTGATCTAGACTTTGCATGGACATATCCAATGTGATGTAGCACATTTTAAATTTTAATAATGTGCGACTCACAATAGTGCATATCTGATATGCAGGACTAGACAATGCAATTGAAGTGATTTAATTTCTTTTTCGTTGTCAATATTCTCTACTATGTAGTGTATCTTATCAAACATGCTATATCTAGTATACGAGTTATGGTTGTGTATGGATTAGTGTAAATAAGAAAGGGAACAGTTCAACTAAGAAAATTGGGAACTGGTCTAATTATAAGCCAAATATCGAAAAATTAGAATATATTATAACTTGAGAGTTCGCTAGTCCGATTTTAAAACTGGCCAGTTTACAACTAAAGCAATAAAGAGTGATGCTATGTGTACAAATGAGATTGTCAATGGAGGTTGACAAAACATGAGTTGGCAAGATCTATATCATTTATTTTAAAGCCAGATTTTGAAAGCAAAACAAATCAACAGTTTAGATCTTGTCGATTTTTATTTTGTCAACAAACTTTGTCTACCTGCTTTGTACTAGTAGATTAATTGAGCAATAAAACAGGCTGCATTCTTGGAAATCAGAATCTTGACAAATTGTGACTTAGTCATAAAGTTTGTCATAAAACAAGTGATTAAAACCTTCCTTCGGGCTGAGGGGAGCCTTGGGATTAGGTGAGGCAAAGATAAATTTAAACCTAGTTCCTTCCAAATCTCTATGCAATCATGACATATCGGATTATTTTTTATTTTTTATTTTTTGGCTCATGCCCCATCTACAATTGATTATTAATTATCTTTCTTTTATTCTTGTTGAAAATTAAAATGGTTGTTTTTCGAGTATGAATCTTGAATTCCATATAGGCGTCTTAGGTTGTGGCGGAAACAAAAAAATTTGAATTAGGGGGTGCAATTAACTTGCAAAAAAGTTATGAGAAATTTTAGATTAAAAAATTTACATAAAAAAAAAAAAAAATCATACTCTATGTAAATTTACCTTCGATGTGTGTAACTTTTTCTAATGTAAAATTTCGAAATTTTTTGACATCAAACTTTATGTAAAATTTCCTAATAAAAAAAATGTAATTTATATTGAGAAATTTGTTGTGCAAAAATAATAAATGTTAATGAAATAATTGAAATTTACAAAAAAGATGCATTAGACAATTTATTATTATTATTATTATTATTATTATTATTAATATAACATACGCTTTATGCACCTTTACCTATTTTTGATGGGTGTTTGAACCATTTGATGTGTCTATGAAGTGGTTCTCGAAATGAACTACGAGATGTGGATTTGGTTAGCATACAATTGTCGGGGGAATTTTTAAAGTTTGCATGTTATCAAAATTCTCGAAATACTAATTTGAAACAGTCTATTTTGACAAGTCGTAAAATTTGTTACGGTGGGCTATTTTGCGCGTCATTAATGATGTAGAAAACTAGATTGAAAACACTTTGAAATGATATTAAGAACGCAATATTTTAACTTCGTTTGGCATCCCATAATGACATTGGAAATTGAGGCAAAAACATGGAAAATTTAATGGTGGTAAAAAAAAAATAAATAAAGAAAGAAAGAAAGAAAGAAAGAATTTTGCCCAAAAGTTGGGGGTCACGTGACCACGCACCACTCCTTGTGTTCGTCCTTGGTCTTATGCATGTCGTTCATTAATATACTAGGGAATTTTGTATGTAAGAACATATAGAAGTCACTTGAGTCTTAATTGTTAGTCAAGTTAGTATTGTACGATACGGCTCCCAATCATTGTAATCTATGTCGAATGTATTGTCCACTGGGGATTGTACCCTTAGGAGGATTTCTAATGTGAGGTAAACCCACGTATCAATAGTAACTACAAAATTCACACAAGATTGATTCAACCTCAAGAAAGTCAAGAATCAATGTTTAGAGTTTGATCCAAAAATATTAGACAAAAGAACCAATAAAATCGTTGACAATTAACCTTGTGAATCACAAGATTCAAGAATCTCACTTGAATTGTTTAAATGTTAAAAGAATTAAATTTTGATAAATTCGAAAAATTAGGTCAATGAAAAACAAAGATTGAGAGCAATTATGCTTCTCAATAATATTTTGCAAAAGTAAATAGTTTACAATGAGAAGAATAAATTCTATTTATAATGAACTCATAAAAACCCTAGTTAAAACGGAATATAAATCTAAAAATACAAGAAGATATCATAAAATAGAGTTTTAACATAAATAAGAGATTACATAAATTTGAAAAGTATCGCGCACAAATTGTACATGCGGCCACATAGTTCTAGCCTATGTGGTTGCATAGATCATTCCGACAAAGCTTCTGAATTCTCTGATTAAGGTCGCATGCCTCGTTGCACTATGCGATCGCATAGTGTAATTCTGTAGCCTCTCCATTTATGGCTTGAATCAAGTTGATCCATCGCGCTTTTTCTTTCGATCCCAACATAAAACATATCCCTTTGTTTGCCATAATCAATGTTTCATCCACCACGGGTTGAGCAATTAGTCTCATCGCTTGTTTAACCCTTTTTACCCGTGACCTAGTTATAGCCCTTCTTCAATGATCAACAAATCCTTGTTTGGACTTGCCTCATGCTATGGATCATATCATCATTTCCATCTTCGAAAGGATTTGACCTTGAATTTGTACCTATATCAAAGAGAGAAATATCAAAGGTTTTAAAAGTAGCCAAAATATTATATTCATTAGGAAGATCCAGTTTGTAGGCATTATCATTAATCCTTTCAAGAATTTGAAATAGAACATTCCCCTATGTTGCAACTTCAATTTCTTTTGCTCTGGAAAGCATTCCCTTTTTAAGCGTACCCAAATCCAATCCCCAAATTCAAATGTAATGCTCTTCTGACTTTTGTTTGCTTGAGAAGTATAGTGCTTGTTCATCTTCTCAATTTGCAATCTTACCTTTTCGTGGAGTGATCTCATTAAGTCGGCTTTCATCTTTCAATCTAAACTACCTCTTTCATCAACAGATAAAGGAATTAAATCCAAATGTGTTAGTGGATTAAAACCACATAAAATTTCAAAAGGTAAAAAAGTAGTAGAATGCGTGGCCCTATTATATGCAAATTCAATGAATAGTAAATACTTTCCCCAACTCTTCAAATTCTTATTGACTATAGTACGTAACAATTGTATCATGTCCTATTAACAACCTTAGTTTGTCCATCAATTTGTGGGTGACGAGTAGTAGAAAACAATAACTTGGTGCCTAACTTGTTCCACAAAATCCTCCAAAAGTGACTAAGGAATTTAACATCCCAATCTGATACAATGCTCCTAAATACCTTATGTAAAAGCACTATTTTCTTAAAGAATAAATTCACAATATTGGTGGCATCATCAATTTTATGACATGGAATGAAACATGCCATCTTACTAAATCTATCTACCACTACAAATATAGAATCTCTACCTTTCTTAGTCCTAGGTAAGCTCAATACAAAGTCCATAGATACATCAACCCAAGGTTCAATAGTAACAGGTAAGGGTATATTCAAGCCTTAAAGTTAAATCTTAGATTTAGCCCTTTTTACAAGTGATGCATCTACTACAAACTCGATTAAAATTATTTTTTATCTTAGGCAATAAAAATGTTCTCCTAGCCTCTTTAAGGTCTTCTTAACCCTAAAATGACCCATTAAACCTCCATTATGTGTTTCACTTACTAACAATTCTTTTATTGAACATTTAGGAACACAATTTATTTTCCCGAAGTAAATATCCATCATACCAATAGAATCTATCTACAACACCTTTATTACATGATTCGTAGGTATTGGAAAAATACGGGTCAGTAGCATACATGTCCTTAACATAAAAATTTAGCACCTAAAGAAGTTAGACGTACATAACTTCTTGACAAAGCATCTGCTACCATATTTTCTTTACCTGGCTTATACTGAATGATAAATGGAAATGTCTTGATAAATTCCACCCACCTTACATGCCTTTTGCTTAGCTTACATTGATCTCTCAAATGCTTTAAGGACTCATGGTCGGTGTGAATCACGAACTCCTTTGATCATAGGTAATGTTGTCATGTTTCCAATGCCTGAACAAGTGCATACAACTCCTTGTCATATATAGGATAACTGAAAGCTGCTCAACTTAACTTTTCACTAAAGTAAGCTATTGGCCTTCTATCCTACATTAAACAGTTTCAATACCTATCCCTAAGGCATCACATTCAATCTCAAATTTATTTTTATTTATTTATTTATTTATTTTACGGTTAGGAAGTAATAAAATCGGTGCCTTACACAACCTATCTTTAATAGTGTTAATTGCATGTTCTTCTTTAACACCCCACAGAAGTCCTACACTTTTTTGACAATTTTCATGAGTAGTATGTCAATTGTGCTGAAGTCTTTAACAAAAAGCTTATAGAAGCTAGTCAAACCTTGAAAACTTCTTATCTTAGTTATGCTTTAAGCAGATGCAGTCCTGAGGGCGTGCGAGTTAAGTGACCGCACAGGACCTTAGCATTATAGGAGCACCAATTTTTTTTTATAAGTCCATATATATAGAAGTACATATAGGGATGGCAATTCGAACTGTTAAAATCAAAAACCGTAGTTAACCGAACCAAATGGGATGGAAAAAATCGAACTGATGGTGCAATGGGACGGATATGGTATTTGATATTGTTGAACCACTTTGGGGCGGGTCGGGTATGATATTTACGCCCTCGTCCCGAAATCGAACCGATTACCCGTAAAATAATAATAATAATAATAATAATAATAATAATAATAATAATAATAATAATAATAATAATTGAGCAATTAGTTATTGGACTTTCCACTATTTTTATCCAGCCCAAAATAAAATTCTGCCCAATACATTTACTATACCCAGCCTAGTTACCATAACCCATAGTAATAGAATCAGTATATTAAAGACGTAAACCCTACTCTACTCCACAGACTACGATCTCATGCAGCCACAGCTCCACGCCTCATCGGCTCCAGACAATTATCTTTACGACATCACCGGTCCACCCTACTACAAAAAAGCACGCAGCCACCAGCTTCACTGCTCCTACCACTATTTGAGGTAACTGAATCATCTTCTTGTGCTTTTGCTATTTGCAAGACCAAAATCTAAAAGGCTTCGTTTCTTGTTCTCTGTTCCACATTCATTTGTATTCTGACTGAATGTGGTGCCAAGTGAGTTGTAACTGAATCATCTTGTATGTGATTGCAAGTTGCTTCACACGAGAGAAATACTCTAGCAAATGTAGGTGTTGCGGCTTGAGTTTTTCTGTATTTGAAGGAATTGAAGTGCACGCCCATGTGTTGAAGTATGGATTTAAGTCACCGCGTTAGTATTATGGGACATTGGGGAAAATGGGTTTTGTAAAGAAAGTGTTTGATAAAATGAAATTAATGAATGCCTAAGTTTTTGAGTTTGTTGATTTGTTTATTTTTTTTGAAATTAGATGTCTTGCTAGGGGTCAGAATCTTTCGTTCCTACTCCTCCCACTTCAATTGGAAGTGCTTCTGCTTCAATTCAAGTTGGAGCATCAACAAGTACACCAGTTACTTCACAAAGTCCAAGTGAGGTAAATGCAAATCTTATTCATATAGATTTAGGTGATGATGAGGAGATGACTGAGGAAAATAGAAAAAGAAAATTGACCTGTTCAGTGTGGCAGCATTTTAAGCTATAGAGAATTAATAATGTGCCCAAAGCAATTTGCAAACAATGCAACAAACAGTTAGGGGGTGAGTCAAAAAATGGGAGAAGTCATTTACATGCTAATTTAAATAGATGTCCTCTTCGAGGTCAGATGAAATTTTAAGTTATCTTACGAACTTTTTTTCATATCCATACAGATTTATGTATGTCCCTTGTCCCCACACTGCTGAGTCACTTTCTACCGTGTTAATGATTGTCTATTTGATTGGAATATTGATCAGAAATTGTCCACATTGACTGTTGATAATTGCACCACGAATGACGCTATGATTAACGTTATGTTAGATAAGCTTTCTCTTGGTTCTTTATTGTTGAATGGTGAATTTTTCCACTAGCGGTGTTGTGCACACATACTGAACCTGATAGTAAAGGATGTTTTGGATATCATTAGCCCGAGTGTTGAGAGAATTCACGATAGTGTTTCATATTGGTTAGCAACACCAAAAAGAGTTGAAACATTTGAGACAGTTGCACGACAAATGAAAATCCCTTGTGAAAAAAAGTTAGTATTGGATCGCAAGACTCGATGGAACTCCACGTATCTAATGATTCATACTGTTTTGCTTTACAAAGAACTTTTTCCTCGGCTAAGGCAAAGAGAGCCTCATTACAGAAGTGTACCGAGTGAGAGTGATTGGGAATTGGATATAGAGATTTGTGATAAGTTGGAAATTTTTGATGAAGCGACTGAATTATTTTCAGGAACAAAATATCCTACTGCCAATTTGTACTTTCCCAATATTTGTGACATAAAGTTGGCAATCCGTGATTGGAGCACATCATCTTGTGATGAAGTCAAATGGATGGCGTCAAGCATGAAGGAAAAGTTTGATAAATATTGGAGTGGCATGCATGAAATTCTAGCTGTTGCAACTATATTGAATCCTAGATACAAGATGAAACTAGTTGAATACTATTTTCCTTTGATTTTTGGAGATGAAGCTAAGGAAGAGGTTGAAAAGGTTAGAGCATTTGGTTATAAGTTGCTCAAAGAGTACAAGAGACCACATCGTTCGACAAAAAATACATCTTTGTTTCCATCATCTTCACAATCACAGTCGTCTACTACTGTTGGAAAACATTCTCGCATGGTTGGTTTTGATACATTTGTTAACCTTTCTATTACTGTTGATCATGTAAAAACAAAGTTCGAAATTTTTCTAAATGAGCCAGTATTGCCAAGGGTGGACGGTTTTGATCTATTGACATGATGGAAAGCAAATTCAATAAAATATCCGACTTTACAGAAGGTTGCAAGAGATTTATTAGTCATTCCAGTATCTACTGTTGCATCCGAGTCAGCATTTAGTACAAGTGGTAGATTTGTGAGCCCACATAGAAATAGACTTCACCCAGAGACTTTAGAAGCTTTAATGTGTGCTCGAGATTGGCTTTGGACTGATATTCATGGTAGGATTTATTGTTTTATATTTGTTATTTATGCACTTTCTTTTATTGCTAATTTTTTCCTCTTTTGTGTGTAGAAAATTCTGTTCCTTCATCATATTTCGGAGCTTGTGCAAAGTTTGGTGACGAGGATGTTGACGATGAGGTACATTTTTTTGTTTAAATCTTTAGTTAAGAACATTATGGATTATTGATTTATTACTCTACTTACATTTCTTATATACTATATAGGAATCAACTTTGAGTTTTGACGTATGCTAGTAAGAGTTGTGGGGAAGAATAAAGATTGAATATGAATTGAGGTTGGAGCTTTTTGAGTTATTGAATATTGTTTGTTAAATTTGAATTTTATATTTGAGAATTGGGATATTTTTTGCATTTTCATTTGGGATGTTGTTTGCTACATTAACTTAGTATCATGTTTTTGTTTTCATCGACTTTTTTCATACATTTTTCATTTTAATTCGACGGATGGACCAATTAAAAATAATTTATTTTCGTGGTTATTAATGACCCGAATCGAGATACGAATTGAACCGAACTGACTTTCGTGGTTATGGTACGGTTATGGTATAGCCAAAAAATTGGTGGTTCGGTGATGATTTTGACCGAACCGACCCCGAACCGAACCGTTGCCATCTCTAAGTACATACTTATAATGGTACATATTGTTTTATTAATTTTAAGATTTAAATTTTTTATTATTATATTAAGTTAAAGGGCACAATATTTATGAAAAAAGAGTAAAAAAAATTATATTATGTTAATATTTACTTAATTTAACATATTACTGAAAATAAATGTTTAATTTAACATATATTGATTTTTTTTTTTATAATTAAACTATCTTGCTTTCAAAAAATATTATAAACTATCTATTTCACTAGTCTTAATATCAAATGTCTAATTACCTTCATTGATCAATTACTAACCTAAAAAGAAAATAAGTAGCCCAAAATTCAAATAATTATAATGAAGAGTGAAAAGCTAATACTAGATTCCTTTTTATCAGTTCTTTTATTCTCATCATTTAACCCACGAAGAATAGTCAAATAAAGAAGATAAGAAACTTTATTGTCAATCTTTATTACTTACTCTATAATAGTATAATCTATTTGTTGGAGCCCGTTGTCCACTTGTGAATTGCTATTTCATGATTTTTTATTTTTTTATTTTTTAATTTTAGAATGGTAAGTTTTTGTTGGGTGATAACTGATAGTTGATTACATTCAAATCTTGCGAATTTTTTTACCAAAAGAAACAAAAATAACTTTTGATATATTGACTTATTTGAATAGATTGAATTGCTTTTCGAATATATTTATTGCTTATAAAATACTATTGATAGTTACTTTTATTGTTGCATTTGTTGAAAAATGTTCTTCAAAATTAAAGCTATTAAAATCTTATTAGCGATCAACCATGTCACAAGAATGAGTCCACTTATGAATTGCTATTCCATGATGATGATGATGATGATGATGATTATTATTATTATTATTATTATTATTATTATTATTATTATTATTATTATTATTATTATTATTTGGTTCTAGAATGGTAAGTTTTTGTTGGGTGATAACTGATAGTTGATTACATTCATTTTTTGTGAATTTTTTTTACCAAAACAAACAAAAATAGCTTTTGATATATTGACTTATTTGAGAAGATTAGATTGATTTTCGAATATATTTATTGCTTATATAATACTATTGATAATTATTGTTATTGTTGCATTTGTCGAAAAATATTCTTCAAAACTAAAGCTATTAAAATCTTATTTGTGATCAATCATGTTATAAGAACGATTGAATGCGCTAGTTTTGATATTTATTGAAAAGATTTGCTAAAACTTATTGATTACGAAAGTTTAATTAATGAGTTGGTTTCTAAAAATGCGAGAACAAATATTTTTACATGATTTGTTGCATTTCAAGATTTACACGTGGTACTTGCTACTTTTGATTTCAAAGTTTGCTCATGTAAAGTTGCACCAAGTGGTTAGTAGTTTGGATGGTTCTTTATTGATGACATACGAATTTTGATGAAGTTCGGAGAATGCTTTTGGGCTTTAGTTATATTTTTTTATTAAAAAAAATAAAAATTAAACGTCATATTTTTGGGATGAAATGATTTATTGAATTATTTTTTTATAATATATTTTTTATTACACAAAAGAGACACCATTTTAAAATGTCGCACGGGGCACCTAAAATTTAAGAGCTGACCATGGCTTTAATGAATAGCTATTCTTTAGCCTTGATTTTCTTCTCATCCACTTCTATCCTCCTTACACTAACAATATACCCAAGAAAAATTGTTCTTGTCTTAAGGTCACAAGCATACATCTTAAATGTCTTATATGTTCCTTTAGGTAATTACGATTTATTAAGATGTCATCGAAGTAAACTTTCATAAATCACATAAACGTGCTACGTGCATTAGTAAGTTCAAATGTCATGACTAACTACTCATACAAACTATATTTAATTTTATAAGCGATTTTTCACTCTCCTCCTTCCCACATCCTAATTTAGTGATAGCCACTTTTAAGTAATTTTACTAAATATGCATGAGCCATGTAATTCATCTAATATGTCATCTAACCGAGGAATAAGTTGATGATACGTTACTATTATATTGTTGATGGCTCGCAATCTACACACATTTTCTATGTTCCATCTTTCTTTAGCACAAGTAGCACTGGTACGAAAAATAGGCTCTCCTTCACATATCCCTTGCTCATCAATTCTTCTACTTGTTTTTGAAGTTCCTTGGTCTCCTCGGGATTACTTCGATGATCTGACTTGTTTGGAATGACAGCTCCAGATACGAAGTCAATTCGATATTCAATACCTCGAATGAGTGATAACCCACTGGGCATGTCCTCTGAAAAAATGTCTTCGAATTCCTGCAACAAAGAAGTAGCCAAACTAGGAAGGGATGTACTAGATTCTTCAAGATTAAGAAGTGATTCCTTATAAACTAACAAGATCATAGGTTGCTCCTCAATTACCGCTCTCTTCAACTCACTCTCATTTGTAAAGGAGTTCACTTTTTGACTTTTCTTTCCTCTCGAAAGACTAATTTTCTTTTCTCTTTTGTGGCTCTTTTCCCTCTATCAACCACCTCATTATCTTTTGTCTTGCTCTCTATTTCTCTCAATCTATTTTCTTCCTCACTTTTCAATTTGATTTGATCTTCATACACTTGTGTGTCGGTGTTAATGGTGCAAGGGGAATAGATTTTTCATCCTTGGTAAAGTTGTACCTATTTTTGTACCTATCATGCATCATTTTCCTATCATATTGTTATGACCTTCCCAACAAAATGTACCCAGTATGCATAGAAACTACATCACATATCACTTCATCATGATATCTTCCAATTGAGAAACTCACCAATACTCTCTTATTCACCTTAACCTCTTCACATTCATTCAACTATTGCTGTCTGTAAGGCTTAAGATATTTTAACACAGTTAACCTTAACTTCTCAACAAGTGTAGTGCTATCCACATTGGTACATCTACCCAATCAATGATACATGCTACATACCTTGTTGTTGACATGCCACCTCATATGAAATGTGTTCTTTCTTTGTTGTTCCAAGTCATCAGTTTTCATTGAGCACTAAGAGCTCGCCTCGTAACCAATAGCTCGCCCACTGTATACTCTACCTTCTCACAATCACTAGCTTCTTTCAATTTCGACATGTCTTCATAGTCATCCTCATTATCACTCACAACTTCGCCGTTGTCTCATAAAATCATTGCCCTTTTATTTGGACATTGATAAACAACGTGTCTCAAATTCTCAATCCCAATCACCTAAAGCATTTGATGTCTAAACTCCTAGATGGTAGGGATTTTGCCTTGGATGTGTCCTTGATAGCAACTTCCTCTTTTCCTTTGTAGTTCAGTCCCACCCTTCGAAATAGGTCATTCTTCTTTGTCGTTATCCCACTTTGATTTTTCAAGAAGGATTAGAACCCGATGAATATCTAGTTGTCCCTTTCCTCTTTAGTCGTCTCTCGACTTTCATAGCTATATGCAGCACGTCTTCCAGCTTCACATAATGTTGTAATTCCACCATGTCAAGTATTTCCCTATTTAGATCGTTCAAGAATTGAGCAATGGTGGCTTCCCTATCCTCATCAACATTTGCTCTACTCTTAACAATCTTCATCTCCCCATGATAATCCTCCACACTTCTAGAACTTGATAAAACTTTATAATTTTTTATAAAGCTCACTATAGTAATGATTAGGCATGAACCTCTTCCTCATGGTGGCTTTCAATTCTTCTAATGTATTACTAGGCCTCTTACATTTCCTCTTCCCATAGATCACCACTTGATCCCACCAAGTAATAGCACATTCGGTAAACTCAAGTACCGCAATCTTTGCCTTCTTATCCTCCAAGTGGTTGGGGCAGTCAAATATTAAATCTATCTTCCTCCCTCACTCCAAGTATGCCTTCGGATCACTCATTTCTTTGAACGAAGGAATTGTCATTTTGATATTGCCTATATTTTTATCTACTCCATCTTCGACAAGATCTCTACCCTTTTTCTCATGCTTAACTCCTCTATCCTTCATTTTTCTTATCTCGACTTCTACTAATGCATCCTCATCGATGTCAATACCTGCTTCACATTCCTCGTGAACTTCAATCCTAGGCTTCTGCCCACCTTATCTTCTTGCATTGAAAAACTCCCTTAGGTTGTTCCCTACGTAAATTAGTAAGCAATGGGTCTTATCTTTCCATCCACGTCTCTTGCCTAACCAACCTGCCTCTCATATCTTCAAACAACCTCTCAATTTGTCGTATCAACTCGTTCGACATGTTAACTTAATTATTATGCTTGCTTAAAGTAGAATCGTTTATGTTAGACATCCTAATTCTAAATTAATATTTGTCTCACATGTATATGCTCGTGTATCACTCGAATTTGGCTATTTTCCTCTATTAGTCTCACCACTCTTGCATTTTTCCACTCAATGCTTTCGTCCAAATGCTTTAAAGAACTAATTCGATTTCAACCAAGTTTTATCCTCGAAAAATTCAAATTAGGATGTGGGTGAGAAATTGTACTTAGAGGATTTTAAAAAATGAAAGAAAATAAGCAAAGGAATTTGATTCTTTTATTAGAAAATAACATTAATCCAAAAAAGTGGTTCTTGAATTTGGATTGGACACTCGTTTTTTTTTTTAACTCAAAAAACATGAAATTGCATGTGCTGGGAATTTTCATTTTCTTTGCTGGAAAATTCAACTACGATACCAACAAAATAAATGAAACTAATTTGGGCACTAAATTAGCACAAAAACAACATTTGAGTTTTTTTTTAATATTTTTTATGGATTAAAGACTTAAAAAACGAAAAATGTAGAAAAGAAAACAAAAAACTCAAACTAAAAGGAAAATGATATAACCTTGATTTTTGGTAATGTGAATCCCACACAAGATTGACTCAATCCTAAGAAAGCCAAGAATAATGTTTATAGTTTGATCTAAAAATATTAAACCAAAGAACCAACACAACCATCGCCAATATGTTGATCTCGTGATTAGCCGGCTCAAGAATCTTACCCGAATTGTTTGAATGCCACAAAAAAATAAATCTTGGTAAGTTCGAAAATTAGTTCAGTGAAAAACAAAGAATGAAAGCAATTATGCCTCTCAATAATATCTCAAAAGTTAGTTGTTTACAATGAAAAGAATGAGTCCTATTTATAAGGAACTCATAAAAATCTAGTTAAAACAGAATATGAATCTAAGAATACTAAAAGATAAAATAAATTGGAGTTTTAACATAAGCAAGATATTACGCGAAATTTGAAAAACACACAGTTTTTGCTATGCAGCTGCATAGTTCTAGTTTGTGTGGTCACATTTATCATTCCAACGAGGCTTCTGAATTCTATGATTGTCGCATGTCTCATTGCGCTATGCGGTTGCATAGTGTAACGTCGCAACCTCTTCGTCTGTGACTTGAATCAAGTTGATCAATCATGCTTTTTCTTTCGAGCCTAACATAAAACTTGTCCCTTTGCTTGCCACAACCAATGTTTTGTCCACCGTAGATTGAGCAATTAGTCTCATCGCTTCTTTAACCCTCTTCACTCGTGACCTAGTCATAGACCCTTCTTCAACGATCAACGAATCCTTGTCCGGACTTGCCTCTGTGCCATGGATCACATCATATCACGTTTTCAAGATTCAATTGCTTAATTGGTATTATATTCAACATAAGTGTCCCTTAAATGTTAGGGGATGCAATAGAAATTTGTAGGGGATAAGATGAGCACAAATTTTTTCAAAGCAGTAAATTAATGACTCGAGCACTAAGTCTTGATCATTACATAAATGCACGTTTTTTTCAAGGCCCACCAAATTCAGTCGGAATCTCACGTGGACCATGTCGGGCTTAGGTAGAATCCAAAGGGCCGTAGTCCGGGCCAAATCATCACTGATAGTCTCCGAATGGATCCTATATCGTTTGAGATTAGAGCAAGGAAATGAAGACTGAAAGTGCCATTTTAAATATAAGCTAGGATGAAACGGAGCATTGAACTATTTTTACTTTTCAATAATAAACTTAAGAAGAACCGTATTAGTACATGTTCGATTGTAAAATGAGGGACCTGGCTGCGTTGACGATCCATCGATTCAGTTTTTAAATTCCAACCCGAAATCTCGATTTTAAGTTCAGTTTAAAAAAGGAAGGATGTCTCATGACTCGATTTTGAACCCTATCGGTTCAATTTCGGGTCAGATTCTCATCCGACTTGAGTAGTCGATTTGGTTAGATCTCAACCTGACCCAATTCGACTTGTGCTCATTCCTAATTATGGGCCCGTTTGGTAGGAATTTTGAGAATTGATTTTTTGACCGTTAGAAGAAAAGTGGGGTCCACATGTGAGAGAAGAAGTCAAAAATTACGGCTTGAATAGTAAAATAACGGTCAAAAAATCAATTTTTTGGGACAAAAAATCCATACCAAACGGGGCCATATCTTTATAACAAATGAAAAAATGTCTACACATTGACTTCTTTTCATTTATTATGAATTGATGGTGTTAAAATCGTATTGAAGAATAGCATATTTGAGCTCCTTCTGTGACCCACCAAAGAAGCTAATTTCCCTCCAAAGTGTGAAAGAGACACATCGGAACCTCCGAAACATGCGGCATGAAAAACTTCATCAACCTCATTGACCATATTAATGATGACAGATTAGTTGATTTACTTTCCTTTAACATACACACTCAACAACTAATTCAACTCTATTTATTAATTAGACCATTATCTAATTATATAATTAAGGTTTTGTTAAAGTAATGCTATTTGTAGTTGCCCACTGCCGTAATCGTCCTATGTAGCATACATATGACGGTTAGTGATTTGATACATTAATGTGAGAGTTTTTTATTACGTTATGCAACAAATTATCAACCTAGGGCAATTTTAATAATGAGCGACTGCAAATAGCATTATTTTTTTGGTAACTCCCTCCTTTATTGTAATAATTTAATTGAATTAATAGCTAAAAACTTCATGATTAATGTCCCTCAATTGAAGCAAAAAGTGTTTTATCAATCCCTCTGGAGTACATAAAGTTGGACATATGATATTTACGTGATAATTTAATAGAGATTTGAGCGTTTTTCATCATGGGACTTATTTGCTCTTTTTAAAAGTTGGGGACCAATGGTTCAATTCTCCATTACGTTATTTCTCGTTCCACAAATTTTCACATATGACGGTTCAATAATTGACGTTCATGTCAATGATTTTTATCGTTCTAAGCTACGTTATTGTATGAAATTACCTTAATTGCAATAAAACTAAAATATATTTACTCGACCAAATAAAGTGAAGTGCAGTTGCCTAATTGACAATAATGTAAAAGTACAATTACCGTAAATGAAATTATTCGAAGTTCAATTACGCTGAAATACCTATATATATATACACACACACACACACACACATTCTTGTGCACGTCAGATTTATTATGTTTTTCGTAAACAAATAGTTGTATCACAATGAGTCGTACTATCTAAAAACTTAAACCAAAAGCAATTAAATCATTTATTTATTTACATTTCATTATCACTAGGAATAATCATCATCAACAAACTTGATTTGATATTAAAGCTTAGTTAATTTACCCTTTCTTAAAGTTTAGTTAATTTCCATTAGTGTTTCTTAGCCATTTAAATGCATGCATTAATTCACACGGCACTGACTTTCTCCAATACCATTTTTATATAAATGTTATCAGTAACTTTCACTACCTATCCAACTGCCAAAAGCTACTATAAATTGTAATAAAATTTCATGTGATGAACATATACTTAGCTGGATTCTACATTTTGGGAACAAAATCATAAAAGAACAAAGCTAATGAATCATTGTAATATCTTTTTTTATAATCATATTAATTGCTCAATTTCATATCTATTTCTAAGTGCATTTACTCTCCTTCATAGGTTTCTTGGCTGGAAGTTATCGTAAACTACGTCTCGATTTCCAACCAATTTCTCGGTGTCGACGGGTAGTCGCTCGATAATTTTCGAAATTTTTGGGATTTTGATAGTCATTGATTTCCTGGAAAGAATGAAGTCTCCAATGTACAAGAAATATGACAGTGCAGATTATTTTGACTATGAATTTGATTGCCAAGCAGATTTTAAACAGGTATGTTTACTAATGTTTAGCTGTATGATGATTTGTGTCTTCCTATTTGTTTGATTCCTTATACTCAATTTCAGTTTCTGGAAGAAGCAAGAAGGAATGAATGCCAAGGGAATTTAAAGATTGAACCTATTGAACAAGTGGGATTCAAAGGACAAGTAGATGGAGAGAAAAAGAACAGAAAATCATGGAAAAATTCCCTGTTTTCGTGGTTGAAAACCGACAAGAAGAACAAGTCCGTCATGCAGCAATCTCCAAGAAAGGGCACCGTCGGTTCTGAACTGAGGCGAGGTCCATTCTCGGGTCCAGTCTGTGCAAGTGAAGGAGGTGGTGGCATTACTGGCAGACCCCGGAAGCCAACATCGGGACCCATCACCGGTCTTTTTAGCTCGAGCAAGAGAGTCGAGGACGAGGTGCCTTATATGTCTCTTGGCCAGCTTAACAATCCTCAAGAAGTTCAATCTTATGGACCTGTTTATTTGGTGACTTAGTGTAGATCATTAAAGAATATCATGTACTGTGATCCTGTTTAAATATTTTAGAACATCCAAAATTTGAAGATTTTGGCTTGATTCATGACTGTCGGCTGGTTAGCATTCTCAAAGTTTTGGTTGTAAAACTAGAGGGGTACATACACCCCATATTAGGGAGTTGAATGTACAAGACAACCTGGTTTTAACCACCTTTGATTAAGAGTTGATGTATTCATTTTACCATTCAAATATGCTGATGAATGGATGACTGCAGAATATGGCCAAAAAATGGAGCTAGGTTGCACGGAAAAGTCACTTACACGACACTACACCGACACGACAACGTGTGATTCTTAAAAAAAGTAGGACACTGACACATCAACTTAAATTCTTTAAGATTTAAAATTTATATATTGTAGCTTTATTTTTTATCATTTTTTTAATATAGGACATGACACATGTCATGTCTCACACTTACCCGAAGAATGACCCTAAAGTATACTCGAGAGTTGGAAATTTAAAATATATAGAAACCAGAACATGGCATGTTGTCAAATCTCATGTAATCTAGCAATCAAGAGTCAGGGTTCAATATAAAACGACGAGAGTCAATCACGAAAGGGTTCCCTACCTACTTGCATTATCCATGGATGAACGGGGACTTGCATGAATGAAGAGAGCTACGCGGATTCATACCTACTTGCGTGATCCATGGGTGTATGGGAACTTGTGTGAACAACGAGAGCGAGGTGGATTCAAACATGCTAGCGTGATTCCATGGATGGTTGGGGGACTTGCATGAATGATCGAGTGCAAGGTGGATTCATACCTCCAAACAACTTACGCTTAGCGTGCTTGATTCAAGCCCTTTCAATGATTCAAAAAAGTTTCTTATTCGTGCATACTTGGCACGTAATAATAAACATACTCGATATTACACTAAACACAATTTTAACCTTTCTCTATCATCTTGTTTGATCCTCATTATTTTCAAAATACTTTTTTTCTCTTTTTCTTTTTAATCATGCATTTTTCAATAAAATAATATTACATGCAAACTCAAAACATTTTCTTATTTTTTAGAATCATACTACATGTACAATCTAGTTTGACAATTTTGATTGACAATTCACACTCGACAATATCACATTCATCCATTTCAAAAACTATTTTTTAAATCAATGGCCTGAATTTTGACAACAAGAATGCGGTCAACCATTATTGTCAAGTATGATTGTACAAAATACAACTATAATTGTATTTTGTAAATACACATTCTTTATCAATCTACCATTCCAAAATACTTTCTTAGAACATAAAGGGGCTCAAACAAGCTTTTAATATTGCCAAGTAATCACGAATCCTTCCTACCAAACATGTAAAGTAGAAAATTGTTTCTGTCTGCTAAATATGGTATGTGTTCTTTCCTCTGATACTGATCTCTTGCATTATTTAGACCAAAACATATCAAGCACTTGCCAAAAATCAGTCAAAAGCAAGAAAAGAAAAGCAACAAATCAAATGCACAAGAACAAAACCTGAATGACTTCTGCAATTGAAACTAATTTCATATAATTGCCAGCAACTCAGCAGTACATAAAAGAGACCATTAATGAATTGACCTGAGAATTTATCTAATACTCTTCTGTAAAAGAAGATGGATACAATTCCATTCTCAAACAGAGAAGCTAAACTATGTATGAAAAACAACATATTCACTTCCATGTTGTATATGCTTAATATAGAAGCCAGATATGAAGGAGCAAACTCTCATCTGCATCAATAATTAAAGAACATTGAACAAATAAGCGCAGTTAATGGAGATTTCGATCGTCTCCGAATCCACCAATGAGTCCAGGCATAATTTCGAATAGTGCCAAAACAAGAACCTTAAACGACAATTCTCGACTTGCCAGAACGATTTTAACACCGATGAACCTCGACTAGAATGCCAACAATTTTGTGCCTACCAATGTGCATTGTAACTACCAATCAACATAGCACATATCACAATGAATAAATCAACTTTGAAGCCTCTACCTCCTTTTCATAGATCCCCATTTCTAGGACCGCAAGGATTGATCCTTCTATTACCACTCAAGAGCCTTTTCAATGACCTCAATCTTGTAGGCACCGGAGACTTTTGTTCTTCCTCTTCATTAAACTGCCTTGGTACATCAATCACCACCGTGCCGTCCAGCCTATTACTAGTTGGCTGGGACGACGATGATGAAGTCGAAGAACTAGGTGACTGGGACGATGTTGATGAAGTCGAAGAACTAAGAGGCTGAGAGGAAGTGGAAGTGGTACTAATTCCACTGCCATCCTCCAAACAAGGACCCAATATGCTAATCTGACTTTCATTGCCCCAAAACAACACATTGGTAGGGAAACTTGGAACATCTGTACCATTGACACCTGAATTTTCCCCAATTGGGGTTTGTAATATAGTCTCCAGTGTTGATTCAGTAGTTACAGAGTTTGAAGAGGATTGATTCGAATTCGAAACCGGGTTTCGACAAAGAGGGCAAGTGGAATGTGATTGGAACCACATATCAATGCATTCAACATGAAATCCATGCTTACATTTTGGTAAAAGTCTGGCCTTTTCACCGTTAGAGATTTCACATAAACACACTGCACATTCTAATCCTTCTTTAAGCTCTTTGGGATCACATATAACTACAGGTATGGTTTTGAGTACCGCAGGGTCTAGGCCGGGGCGAGCAGTGATAACGGTTACTTCTAGGTGCCCAGCAGCAAAATCAAGGCGGCGGCGATGGCGGCTTGCGCTTGCGGTGGTGGTGACGGTGGCGTTTTCTTGGCGGCGGTGCCAGAACCATTTGGCATAGAGATGGAGACAAAAGACAAAGACTACAACAAAGAACAGGAGTATTATTCCCACCATCATGATTTTCCCCGTGAGCTCAAGCACGCCTGTATCACCAGAATTCCCAAACATACGTACTGAATCACCCATTTCTATGACAAAAATAAAGAACTCTTTACGGGATTCTCCACAAAATCTTCAGTTTATAAGTCAAAAATGAAGAAATCTTTATGGGAATCCCAAGAAAAACTTGAGATTTAAACAAAACCCAGATAAGATTTGCAGTGATTTCTCAGAATTTTGAGTAAATCCCACGTTCGGGACGTGTGGAAATTCTTCGAAATTCCCAGAAAATCTTGAAACTTTGAGCAAAACCCAGAAAAGGATATTTCTTGTACACAATAGAGCAGTCAAAAGAAACTCATATAAAGGAAGAAATTCAAGGATGAGAAATAGAAAATGAAGTTTAACTTTAAATTTTCCAAACAATTTCAAACGAATTTGAAGATTGCTTCTTCTATTTAAAAGGAAAGTAGATGATGAGATTTGGGTCAAAATTGGAATCGAAGATGAAAAAAGCAGTATCCAAATAGCAGTCAGCGACGGAGAATGGAGTAATGTGATGATGCTTACACGGCGCCGTTACAAGAATGCATCAAAACTAAACTACCTGGTGGAGACTAATGTTATGGCTTAGAGTTTGAGGCTTTTAATTTGGTTTTCTTATGGATTAGATGAAACAAATTTTGACTTTTCTTTTGGCTTAAGTTTGACCATAAAAATAGTACATTTTGGTTTATTTTAATTCAATTTAGATTGAAAATTGCAACAATTCAAAGTAATTTTCAATTAAAATAATCCTCCAAGCTAACAAATTCAGAATCATCACGACGGATTATACATGATTGGACAAGATAAATGACAAATTTATTACATGTTTTGTACCTCGTATATTTCAATCTAACGCATTTAAACGTGCTCTTATTAAATATTTGATACGATAATGAATTCATTTAACATTTGATAAATCTTGTCACGTATTTTTTTTCTTTACTTAAGTTCTATTTAACATGTTGAATATCTCTCTTTAAAATTCGATTAAAAAAAAAATACTCAATTCAAAGTTAAATACATTTATTACACAAGTTTTTTTGTGGACTTAAATATTAAATACCATAATTTTGTTGTTCTAATTTGACCATTTACAATTAAAATTAGGATTATTCTACTTGTACTAAATCATGTACAAACTGAGTTACAAATCAACAAGTGACGACCGTCGATTGGAGAGCCAGCCGTCTCTACTTGTACTCAGAACATGGTCCTTAAAATTTTGACACCTCAACAAAAATTTTGTTTGTATTTCACAACAATTTTGACACTTCAAAATTGTAACGATGTGTCAAAATTTTATTTGTGTGGAAATTTAGATTGAATTTCTATAACTAGTTATATTGTTTTTAATGATATTATTTATAGAATGTCTTTATTTTGTTTACCTAGCTGGATTTTATCATCTTATATGATTTTTTTTTTTTTTTATCTATAGATGTATTTAACTATGCATTTAATAAATCCCGTGGTTTTTTAATTCATTTTGGCAAATTATGTGTTCTTCCTTTTGGAATATATTTTAAGGGACAATTTTTCAAAATTTTGGTCTCTTTTAAAATTTATTCTAAAATTTTGGAATATATTTTTTGAACGTTTTTAAATATGCTATTTTTCCTTTCCTTTCCTTTTTTTTTCTATTATTTCAAAAATAAAAAATTCAAAATTTTAAATACAACAAAGAAAATTAGTGAATTAAAAAATACAAAATATTTGAAGACGTGAGGTGAATTTTTTTTCAGTGTTCTATTTGGGATTGAACTATTTATTATTTTATTTTGTGTGGGTCAGGTCATTTAAAGCCCCCCACTACGCATGTCGAAAAAGGTATATTAATCATTTTGTCCTTTGAAACTCGAATTCATTTATTTTTCTTATTATTATATATTTTAGTATTTTTATCCTTGGCAGTACTGTTTCATTCATAGTATATGGTACAAAGATAAAGGGTCAGGACCATCCTTGGAAGTGCTGTTCCATTCACAGTATATAGGATAAAGATAAAGGGATAAGGCCACGTAGATCTAACCATTCAACGCTCCTCGTTAGGGCTGGACATGATCCGATTCGATTCGATTCTAATAAAAATCGAATCGATCTGAAATTTTCAGGTATTTAGTAAGTAGAATCGTCGGGTCCAAATTTAATTATGGAACCGTTCGAGTTCGGTTCCATTCGATTTCAAGATTCCGTATTATGATTAAATTTTTTAATATATACAAAGTTATATTAATTTAATTAATGGTATGTTCAATCTTAACTCTTACGAAATAATGTAATCCAATTTTATGTATCATTTATGTCTCTCTTTGTTGAGTTCTTCATAAATTTGATTATTAAAATCATAGGAAGAGAAAGATAGCGAGCTCAAAATAATTAAGAGAGGTGTTGTGAAGCTTTAATTCAATTTTCTTCAATAGAAACGATATTACAGTAGAGTAACATATTTGGATAAAATTGAAGTCAATTTGATTAAGTTGACTTTGAACTGAAAATTAGAAAGAGGAAAATCATATTTATTTTTTTGAACTAAATTAATTAGTTAACAAATTTATTTCGAAAAAATAAAATAATTTTGTTTATTTAAAATAAATTAATTAAAAAAATTAGGGAGATTCAGTTTTTATTCGGTTCTTGGCCTACAACCGAGAATCGAATCATACCCGTCAATTCTTGATTCAAATGCCCGTTCGGGTATTTAACTTGAAAAGAACCGTCAAGTTCGGTTCGGTTTGGGAGTTTTGTCCAGCCCTATCCCTCGTCACGTGGGCCTGTCCAAATAGGACGCCAAATTGGCGCCCCCTCTTTCAAACAGGGCACCGAATTGACTCCCCCTATTGGCAGGGACAGTTGTGGTATCCGTCTAAAAAAACCCTAGTATATATACCAATTATTGATTATTGCAACCCTACACTACATCCGTATATAAGCACAAGGATTAAAATCAACAATTAATTTTAACAATATATTTTAAGATTCACAACTTTTCAATTATACATTTCATCAATTTTTATCGAAATATACTAAAAATGTTGTTTTAAAATAGTAACATGGTTATATTTTTGTTCCTTCTAATCTAGCTGCTAAATTGTCACATAGTCCGCACATGATGATTGATGAATTAATCTGTTCAAATAAACAATATATTATTTTAAAATTAATTAATAAAATTTGAAAATTGTCACCACTTTTCTTCCTTTGCCATTGTCTATGTAGGAGAGGGCAAATTCTCTTTTCTTTTCTTTTTGTGGCATGCATGCGAGACACTCATTCTCTAATGAAATACGTCGTCATACACTAAAAACTTCTAATTATTGTAGATTGATTATCGAAATAAATAAAAAGTCAAATTTTGATTTTTAAGTCTAAAATAAGACTCATTTGACGTACACATGAACAATAATGCTACTTGCACGGGGTTATCTAACAATGACTTTTATGGATTCCCCCCACCCACCACCCCAACTATACAATGAAAAAACGACACATGTTTGAGTTTGTAAATAAACCTCATCACTGACCATGTTCATATGTAGGAGGGTTGATACAAAAATTCTATGATGGGATGTGTATAGATACATAAATTCTATGATGGGATGCGTAGATAATTTCATTATCCACAATTTAAACCTAATATATTTTCTGATAATATTTTAATCACATGGAGCTTACATCATGTGAGTGTTTTGTAAAAATTCTGTAAATCAGATCTCTGTACATATGAAATTTTTCTCATTCAATATGCATTACGTAGTATATATGAACTAATACTTTATTTAATAACTCGGGGAATAATGGACTGACCTTATTATGTATATAAAATTAAAATTAATTCTCTGAAAAATGGCTCCTAATCATTGTTTAACCATAATTTTTTACCATAGTCAAAATTCCAAAATTGCATTTGATTCGGGGCACCGAAAGAAATATTCTTCCCCTCATTATGGATCAGATCTGAAATTTAGGGGAAAAAGGTCAAAAGAAGTCTGAAAAATTTGCCCAAATTATTATAATTTAATTTGGACAAAATGATTAGTTACCTCCTAGTTTTATACCCTAAGCTATGATTATGACCCCAACATTAAAATATTATGCGGCAACATTGCCAATAATTACATTATGCGCATATTTGGTAGAAATTAAAATTCGAGTTTTAATCTTAATCAAAGTTAATAATTAATTATAATCATATATTTTAGGCAGCTCGCAACTTTTTAATTACATATTTTTATCAAAATCTAAAAAAAAATAAAAATGATTTTAATTACATCCAAATAGGAGCTATATGTAAACTATGATTATCATAAGAAAGAAAATTTCAAATTAATTTGAATTTTTAAATCTTATGTAGATTTTGTAGAAAATTTCGGGAGAAAAATGTTTTTGAGAGAGAAATGATAAATGACTAACAATTTTAGAATATTTTACTCGATTATCTTGTCGAGTCCCAAAAATTTTGTCTTTTCAGTTTCTTTTTTCTAACTCTGTTGAATCTTTAGATGGGATTTTAGCATTTTCGAAAGGAAGAGTAATGATTTTGGAGGTGCCTATGGTAGATTGATTTGTATTATGGTATGTGTGATTATGATGAATAAGGGTGTATAGTTTTTATACTTTATTTTGTTTAGTGTGAAGCCGTATTATAAGCCCCTGTTTGATTTCCATCACCTGAAAATGAAAATGGTGGGAATGGTATTTTTAAGAAAAATGAGTGGTTGAAAAAGAAGGAAAAATTTTCGATTTACGTGTAATATTATTTTATGAAAAATTGTGTAGTTGAAAATAGAAGAGAGAAAAATGAAATATGATGTAATTTAATTTAATGGGGATCAAACGAGAGCTAAATATTTTGTTTCAGTCTCTCACTCTCTCTCTCAACATTTTATCTCTTTTTCTACTAAAAAGATCAAATTGTAAATAAAAATTATTATACGATTTTTTTATCTTATTTTCATCATTTCCTCTAATGGAAAAATCGAACTTTAATTAGAATATCATAAAAAAGTAATAATTTTTTTAATATTTGTTTCTCGTTTTATTTTAATAACTTTCAAGATTGGGACATATATAAAATATTGAACATTAAATAGTTCTTTTTTATTAAAGAGTATTAAAATGTTATAAATTTTTATTTTTGTACTTTGGTGGTTTATTTTCCTAATTGTGGTGACTCATATCTTTTATAATCTTTAAAAAATATTTTTATTAACATGCCCCTGTCTGATCCCCATTTTGGAGAAATAATGTATTTTGAATAGTAGATTAATGAAAAATGTGTGGTTAAAAATTAAAGAAAAGTTTTGAAATTACGTATAATATTATTTTAATGAAAAATGGTGGTTGAAAATTAATAAATTTTGAAAAAAATTAATTTTTAGAAGAATAGGAATCAAACAAGAGCTAGAATTATGATTTCGCTACTGTTTCTCCTAGATCATTTGGTCATGCACGTAGTTGTTCAGAATATTATTACATTGTATTGTATAAATAAATAATTCAACAAAACAAGATTGTGCAATAAGCTAGATAAACATATAATTTTATATACAAAAAACTTTTTCTTCTAAAATGAAATGAATTCTATAAA